CCCTCGTCGTTGATGTCGATTCCGGAAATGTTGAGGTTTTGCAAGAAGGTGCCGTTCGGATAGGTGATGCTGATGGCTCTATTGATCCTTGGGGGGTGCCTGGTACTCTGGATTCTGAGGATCTGTGGCTCAGCAAAGAACGCGCCCTCAACGGCCCAGAGAGTGCCGTTATCCTCTCCTGTAAGTCCCGCAATAGATCCCCAAGGAATGGGCAGGCCGTTCACGTTTCTGGACTCCAAGAATGGATATTGAGTTGACTGGCACTGGTAGATGTTCAGGCCGGATCGGATGTCCAGGTCGAGGTTGGAAGCTTCAGAAGCTGTAATGTACAGATTCCGTCGAGGGATCGCCCTCCCGCGCTCCGGGGTCCTGATTGCGGGCAGCGCCTGCAGGTACCTTGGGTCGCTGGCATTGGAAACCTCGAAGACATACGTCAGGCTCGCCCTCTCGGATTGGACGAAGAGCATCTCACAGTTCTGGAACTGTCCATATGCCAGGTTCTCTGGCTCCACGCCCCTGTTCTCAGAGCGCTCGTCCGGGTAGTGCCCGAGCCTTACAGCCAGGAGCTCGAGCAAGTTTCCTGAGCTGAAGGCAATCTCTCCGTTCTCATTGAAGACCGTGAAGGAACGGCTTCCTCCTTGAAAGTCTCCTTCGTCGGCAGTGGCGAAGAATTCCGACTTCTTGCCCAACCAGACCACGCCGTCCGGCTCCCTGCTGACATTCGTCAGGGTTGAGTTCAAGATGATTCTCCGGTCCTCGAAAATGTCAATGTCGGTGATATTCATGGTGCCAGCCGAGAAACTGGAGATCACGGAGGCATTCGTCAGGTTCACCAGGACAATGGCATTGTTCTCCTGCAGTGTGACCACAGCCACGTTGTCCGAGCGGATGCTCACCTGCTCCGGCTCGGGGTCGTCTGGGAAGAGAACGCCTGGGAGACCGGTGAGGCTGATGTTATCGATGGTCCAAGCCATGGGATCCGGATCGGAGATGTTCACCCGCACGAGGAAGCCGGGTGGGGGCTCAGGAAAGGTGCCGGCGGCCTCGTTCTCGATGGTGATGGCGGCCCAGTTCTCGTCCGGGCTGATGTCCGCAGAGTCGGGTTGACCTCCAAGATCGATGGTGCGCAGGACGCTCTGGTTAGTGACGTTGATAACTAAGAGCTGACCTGTGAAACTTCCAGTGTCCAAAGGAACCAGCGCGAGGAAGCCCTTCACAGCCACGTCCGTGGGCTCGTCCGGGACTTTCAGCGTACCCAGGGGGTGGGTACCGCCGCATCGGTAATGTCCACGAAGCCGATCGTGTACATGTTGAGGTATTGTCTCATGCTTGTGTAGACAGCGGTCTTCAGGTCCTCCGTCACATCCACAGAGTCAATTTTGAACCTTTGGTCCGTGTCGTTGCAGGTCGCATCGAGCTGCTGACAACCCTCAAAGAATCCGATGCGGTTGAAGGTGCAGCAACTCTTCCCACCTCCTGGACATGGGCTGGGAGGAGACGGTGGGGGCGGCGGAGGCGGAGCAGGCGTGGTGGTCTTGTAGTAGTACTTCTTCTTCTTGCTCCACTCATAGATGGCACGCTTGAACTTGCGAATGAGCCTTCGGGGTCTTGCATCTTCACTGCGACGGAGCACCTGAACAGCCGCTAGCTCATCGGTCTCACAGCTCTCTGCTGCAGAGGCGCAGGAGCCGTTGAGAATCTGGAGCACCACCAGGAAGGTCAAGCAGCGCATCCTCGAGGCTGCAGGAGATGAGGGGACGATGTAAGCTCCTTTTGAGCCCAACTCTTGAGCCAAACTGGCTGGGTTCAGGGTTTCGACGTTTGGAGTTTTCCGCACCCACTTCACTCACCAGGCCGCCCTGCAAGGAGCACACTAGCTGACGGCGCGGCTGGCAAGGTCTATCCTACCGTTTAAGCTGAGGGCAGCAACGGCTTCAAGGCTTAGGAAATACGGTCACCGCCATACCCTGAGGCGATTGGCTCAAACACTAAGTTACTACTCCTCCGAGCTAGAGATACTTGAAGAGGGACTCGCGCAGCCCACGGACCGCTAGGAGACCGTCATGGAAAGGATACGCCTGACCTCCGTTTCCTACTCGACGATCCCTGATCCGAATTCTCGAACTTCTGAGCAGACGTGAACCAAACGGCGGGTCATCATCCTGGTTCCAACCCGGAATCCGGACCGTAAGTGCTGAACCCCTACACCTTTGCCAGCTCCAGCTTTGCTTCAAGGAAGGATACGGAACTCTAAACCTCTTAACTCCAAATGTTAGACCCACGAAGTTGTGCCAGAATTGGTCCTCTGTGGCCCCTGGATTCCAAACGAGTTCCAAGTTGCGAGGTCCCCGCGTTCCTTGCATGCAGACGGGCAGTTCTCTTAACTCCACCTCTCAGACCCCATAAAGAGGATACCACTCTTAGATAGCAAGGACACATGTAGGCCAGAATATGGACCCCTGATTAGATCAGCCTCCAACCTGGGGGCTAAGTAGCAGCTGCAAGGGATCAGGAGCCACTTCGGATGCATGGTTTCAAGGGGCCCGAGAACAAAGGATCACTAAACGCCCGGCATCTTTAGGGGGTTCAGCACTACTGGGCCCTTTTGACCCCGGCTTCTCGGGCCCAGTTTAAGGCCATGAACCCAAAAAGAGTAGGGAGTCTTGGCAGCTGGGCGTTTTTTGACGAGTCTCTTGAAACACTGGATTGGAAGAGGGTCGGACCTGGTGGGTGCGCCTTTGAGAAAGCTCGAGAAGGAGTCCCTGGATGCAGCTGAAAGCTTGCCCTCTTCTGTTCAGGGTTTAGGGTTTGGGGTTTAGGGGTTAGGGTTTAGGGGTTCAGCTCCTCACAAAACCTTGCTGCGCTTCAGGACTGAAGCTTTTCAAGCTGAAACCTTTTTACACCTGGACCATGCATATGCCAGGAACCGAGGCGCCGACTGTGCTGTGGACTCGTGCCACACGGCTACAAACCCCAAACCCTGTGTTTATCAGCCGGGATATACTCAACGAGGGGAGGCCTAGGATCGAATTTCATATGGCTGGCTCTTGACGATCAGAGACCCCTCAAAAAAGGCCGTTGACCAGGCATCCTCTCAAACAGAAATATCTGGACTCCAAGTGCAGTCCTCCTCCTGGGTTTGAGAACTCCCCCTAAAGCCTAAACTCCTGAACACCTGAGAGCCCTAAACCCCAAAACCCCGGCTTTTGAGGACCTCCCACAAAATGCAGAATTAGGAGCTCTGTTATAAAGGTGCTGGAAGCATCCCAATAGTTGCCACAACAGTCCCATCATCGGCCTCATGTGTCTTTAATGGGACCCGTAAAGCCTTAGGGTTTAGGGTCTAGGTCCTAAAACAAGATGCAGGACGAGTGTTTCAATCTTTGTGATCAGAATCAGAAAAACCTCCAGAGACCCTGCCCTCCGCCCCCTTCTGCGGCCCAGCTTCTTGACGACCTTGCTCGGAAGCTCTCCGCTTGAGCGAACCTTTCTCTGGCGAAGCTTCAATCTTTGGGCTTTAAGGCAGAGGGGATTAAAGCATTTGCTTGTGGGGTTTAGGGATGTTGAGGTTGCGGATTAAGGAGTTCAGGGTTCCAGGATTCTGGATTGATAGCACTACAGTGTCACCTTGCATTGCTCTGGGCACTGGGCCGTCAGCGCACCGTCAAGCTCCAAGTCGTTCAAAGCAACCTCAGCTGCCAACAGCCTCCGGATACGACTTCTAAGCTCTCACAGCCCAACCCACAAGTGAACGCTGACGCTTGCAGGCTCAACCAGCAACCATTCCTGCTGCATCCAGCCCCTCCCAATGCAAGGAGCTATAGCGCAGGCCCTTCAGCCCTGGTCCGCACATGGCGCGGTCAGTAGGATGTCAGAAACCCCCAGTGAAGTGCACGCCCGGTCGCATCGCCATCCACCACGAGTTCTGACTTGTTGGAGATGGTGATGTTACCCTTGACCTTCTCCTGTCGTCCGTTGGCTCGGGGATGCCTACCAGGAGCACCTAAATTGGGGCATGTAAGCTATAAGTTTTAAGAGATCCCTGAGGGTCCATGTACCCAAATAGTATATACATTGGCCTCAAAGTGCCTATATAGGGACCACATTAAGGCCAAAGTATATACTATTTGGGTACATGGACCCTTAGGGGATAATAATGGGATGGCCGGGCTCGACAGTGTTCATCTGGTTCATCTGCACGATGTTCCGGCTTTGCACCCGCAATCCCAAAAGCCCCGACGTGCAAACCTCGAAGACAACCAGTGTTAGCCAAAGTCAAACCCTTAAGCTTCATTGTAAAACCCCGCAGCACCCAGGCCTCCAAGAGCCCGAACTATGAACAGCAGCTCGGGGTCGGGCAAACGTAGAAAACTGAGGAATGGGGTCACAGCTTTTGAGGATTCTACCCAGCCCTAAACCTCCCTTTCCAAGACTTCCTAAGTACACCTACATGGGGGTTTCCGAAAACAGGGGACCCTAATATAGTACCCTAAATACTAGGACCCTTAATATAAGGACCCCAAAATAAGGTACCCCTATTTTCGGAAACCCCTATATAGGGCTCCAGATTGAAGACCCGAAGTTGCTTCGCGAGTGTAGAATCAGGTCAAGGCCCACACAGTTTGAATGGCAGGGTTCTGCAAGTTCTCTGGATAGTACCCCACAACTTCACCGGGCAAAACTCTCAACCTCAAGCTGTGCCAAATCTCACCAAGGGAATGTCTGGACATCAGCGACCTTTGCGAGCCCGATTATCAAGACCCCTCCTGCACAATTTAGGCAACAAAAAGCGACAATCGCCGGCCTTCATCTGTTCTAAGGAGACCGCGAAGGATGGCTGCAGCACGATGCGGGCCCCGACCTGCCGAGAGCACATTGTCGGTGTGGTGTTTTTTTGCCCTCTCGCATGGCAGAGAACAAAGCTCACAGGCGAGGTTGGCATAGGACGATCTTCATTGTTTGGTGTGCACCTAATTCTCAGCCACCTTGCGACGAACCCAACCACACCAATCAACCACATCAATAAAACACCAGTACGCCATACAATCAGTAGCAAACCAGCTGGACTCACTTTCGCAAGGAGGTGGACAGTCTCGCTTCTTCACGAAGCTTCCTACCCTTTGGTGGTTTAGGGTTTAGGGTTTAGGGGTTGATTCGAACCCGGCATCATCAGCAGTCACACTCATAGGATGCGCAACAGTGGGCTCCACCCCAAATCGGCTTTGGTGTTTAGGGTGGCGGGTCTGTGCACTGCTCATGGCCTTAAGGTCCTAGCCTTCGCCAAGACACTAATTCACAAATCAGCAACACCCCCAGCTGATTTCCATTCCTGCCTGAGCAGTGATGCCAAGGAAGTTGACATCAGGCCTGAAAGCGTCAAGGCCGAACGATACTTCGTCTTGCGCAGATCCAACTGAACATATGCAGGCTTCAAATCTTGCAGCCTAGATCTATGGGGATTCGGGCTCCAGGCGGACAGGCGCAATCGATTGGGGATTCCAGGTTGCGTGCCATCCTCCGCCCAGCTATTCACACAGCCCTACGCAAAAGCATGACGGTGCGTGCCGAGTAGCGGGGCTTCGATTTTCACCTGCAATAAATTTGGCCAAGTCTGCTTCACATATGTATTTCATGGTTGGCATAGAATTGAAGGATGATGCTCTCGTTTTGACAAAGATTCCCGAAGCTGTCGACGTCAATCCAGGCCGCAACTGGACGTGAGTTGTCTGGCGTACCATAACATAGGACTATAGGACCCTATGAAAGAAGTCCTCCTCACTCGAAACCCTATAAGCCCTATTCCCTAAGCCTCGGACGTTTTGCAGCTTCAAAAAGGGCAATGGCACTCACAGAGAGCCGGCCTTCCCTTGCCCGGCCAACTCCAGCAACCGCGCGTTGCAGGCGTAGATGTCCTTAGCAGCAGAACATCCTCGGGAATCCTCGACCTACCCTCTCTGTTCTGTTCTGTTCTCCGGGGCATAGGGTGCTTGTCAAGCACCCCGCGCCGAAGGGCGCACCCCTGTTCAGGGGCCTTGTGGGGGCTTTCGAAAAGACACACCTACCCTCTTTCTCTCTCTCTCTCTCTCGTGCTCCCGCGACTAGACAAATGTGTACTTGTTTACATAATGTAGGTGTGTGATGCTGGCTTTGTTTGTATACTTAAGAAATCAGAAACCTTCAGCAGGGCGAACCACGTGCCTAGACATCTTAATCTTCACTCGCTGAGTCACTGTTGGAGGGCCCCTGAACCCGGACTTCCAGAAACCCCCAGAAGCCAAAACCAGGAAAGCACCAAAAAGCTCAAACCCAAAGGCTTGATTTTGCTCCTCCTCCTCCTCCCTCCGAACTTTGACACAGGAGTCGATGAAGCTGAGAAAGCTTTCGCCACTACTCTTTGTTTCAAGCAGTGCAACAGCTTGGCACGAGGGGGTAAGGACGCCAGTTCCGCTCCAGTACCAGGAGCTCATGCGCGAGCGTATCTATGTAAGGGTACCGGAAGAATAGCTTTCACTGCTATCTGGATTACCATGCCGTCTTTCTTGCAAAGCCGTGGTGCAGCCTCAGCAGAGAGGGCACAGTCCTCAGCTCCCGGAAGCCATGAAAGCCACCACCACAAGACGAGCATAAGCAACAGAGAAAGCCCAACTACCGACTATCACTTCAGCATTGGCCATCTGCCCAGTGTCGCACATGATTAGGCGAGATCATAACAAGCTGAAGCAGCACTGATACCTTGTTGACCTCACCTGCGGCTTGAAGCACAAAAAACGTGGCAAGGGAAAGCCATACGAATAGCAAAGACTCTGGAGGATTCTTCTTCATCGCATCGGCCAGGTTGTTCTTTACGCAGGTAAAGCTCATCCTGTTTAGCAGGGCTGTGAGGCATGATCTGAGGGGCTAGCGGCTGGAGAAGGGCTTGGGGGGTCAGCCAGAAACATCGTGATATGGCGATCACCAGGGAGAGCCACCTCCATTGATTGACTGTGGCGCTCTTTTTGTGCGCCGTTCTCCTGAATTGGGGAATAGAGCTTGCCAAGATGCAATCTCTCGAGCTGCGTGAAGCCAACCTTGCTTGCGACGATTTGGTGCATCCAGGCCGTGACTTCAAAGCTCGCACTGAGATTTCGCTGACTCGTTGTGACCATCTCGGGCTTTGCTGGGCCTTTAGCATCATAAGTACCGCATTGAACTTGTCACATGCTGAACCAAGCCAATCACCGAAACCGAGAACTTGCAAAGACAAGCTGCCTTGTCATCCTGGCGGGGCGTGTGGCTGCTGGGGTTTGGGAGGGGTGGCGATTTCGTATCTTCATGTGGCAGGGCATTTCTGTTGTGATTGCATGGTTGCTCCTCAATTTTTGAGCTCGCTGTAGCTTGCAACCTGCGGTAGGTGCTACTTTCAACTGTGTCAAGTCGGTAAAAGGAGAAAAAAGAGGAGAGCAAACAGCTGCCACAATCAGAAATCGGAAATCGGCGTAATGCTAACCGGCGTTCCTACCCGTGTGCTTGCAGTAAGGATCTCAAGCTGAAGCACGGCTAGGAGGCATGGTGTTACAGCCATACGGAGTGACACGCAGGGTTCACAGCAAGTGCGTGTACCTTCCACATCCAAGTCTTCCCGCAGCGAGCCTTTGTGCAAAGCCGAGGGAAGTCCTGCATCATGCACCTGGTGTCAGCAGTGTAATATGAACACATGAGCGAGGTAGGCTTCTTGATCAGAGGAATTAATTCAAAGCATGCTTCTCAGCAAGCAAGGATGTAAACCAACGTACATTGCAGACGCCAGGCGAACAGAACAGTGCCAAAAAAAGCCAGAACACCAACAGCCGGCCATCTTAAATCCGTAAATCCGCTTTGAATGTGCAGACAGTGAGGCTTGAGTGGCGCAGACGAGACGGACAAGTGGAGGTCTCAAACTCGATTCTTTCCGTGACAAGGCACGAACCTCGACAGTTATGACACCCTCAGCCCACCAGAAAAGCATGATCCCTTTGCGCTGGAACCAAAAGACTGGCGTGCTGCCGCGGTGCTCGAGGCGCGTCGGTGACTTAAACTTGCTCTTCTCGGCATCTGCCCACTTTGGGTTCACGAACTCCTTGGGTGGACATCCAAACTACCGCTGCGAATATCGGCATCATCATGGTGCTCAGTGCCACCATGCAACTTGTTTGATGACTGTCTTTACTGTCCTCATTCCTTGATTTGTCACGAGTATCGGGCCATCCTTCATCTCGCAAGGAGAGGCTCTTGTGCAACACGGCTCTAACAGTCCCCCGAGTATTCGAACTGTACAGACACTTGTTTGCCTCAAGAACTTCCGATTTCCTACCTTTTGGGCTTGAGTCTTTTTTGACTGCTTGAATACTTGGGCCCTCGCGGCGCCTCGCGGAGGCAGAGCTCTCCAAATACCACTTCAAGTTCATGCCAACATCCACCCCTTTCCAGCGACCTTGGGCTTGGAAATAAACGCGGCCAGGCCACCGGAACGATTCCACCGGTCGTGGCGAGCCGCTGCGCCATTGTGCCAACGTGGAAAACCTCAAAACAGAGTGCAGGGGCTGGCTCAAAACTCGAGAGAAAGCCACGACTGATCTGTTCCGTCCTGTTCATCTTCTTCATGAGCCCAAAACCCAAGCATGTCGAAGCTGTCAAGTGTAAAGACCGATGTCAGAGTAAGTAACAGCCATGCGCATCAGGAGACTCTCGACACTCAAGTTCAAGAAACCCTCCGAGCTATTCACTTTGCCAGACTCTAAATACTTGGAGGATCTTGGGACTTAGTAAGTAGGGTTATAAGTACCCTGATTGGGGTTATAAGTATGGTTACCTTGTTTATAACCTCAGTTTCTAAGTCCCATGATCCTTCAAGTACCGTCCATCGCAAGTCTGCGCAGACAGAGGAGATTCGGAGAAGGCACTAGGACATTGATGTTGCCGGGGTAGGGGGAGAAGCCGCTCGCGTCTGCCACATCCCCACCAGCCGGAGTGTCCTTTCACAAAGCAAGAAAAGCCCAAAGCTCAAAATCGCTCACGTTGCAGTGCATCTTATCTTGACAAAACAACCAAGCGCTACTCAAACAAGATATGTTAAGGACTATATGTGCAAAAAGAGGCGGAAGCGAATCAAGCAATGCGCATCTCTGTCTAACACCGTCCTTCAAAAGTGGATCCAGCTGGTTGTATTCGACGTTGATGGTCAGGTCATCACCCGAGGCGCCTTTCCTTTCCAGTTAATAGCTTGTGACGATACTACTACTACTACTACTACTACTACTACTACTACTACTACTACTACTACTACTCTCATGTTCTGTTTACTGAGCCTGCAAACCTGATGAACTGCTCCTGCTGTTGATAAACTTGGTCTGGGTTGACATCTGCGCCTGCGGGAATAGAAACCCCTAAGAATTCAAAGGGTTCGTGCTGGACTCTCAAGCAAGTGCCCCTGACTCTTATCTCGTTTGTAACAATCATACATTGACCCATAATACAGGCTTAAACTGAATAGCATGGAAAAGGCCTATGTATATGCGGTCATTAGTGTAGTCATAAGTGTTTGTATTGCTGTCATAACCGGCCATAGCTCAGCTGACAAATGCCGCCCACTGCTTCGCCAGGCAAGCGCGGAACGGCGACGGAGTTCATCGCGAAGCCGCGGCTAACCTCAGTGGCTATGCTGCTGTTGGACTGAATACGTTGCTGCGAGGCTCAGCCAGGGTTCAGGCTTCAGCCTTTATATGGGTGGTTGTCAAAATTATGGTCCCTTTTTGGGTCCTTATTATAATACGGCACTTATTATTTAGGGTACCCCAAAAGGGACCATAATTTGACAACTACCTATATACGTAGGGCTCAGGTCAGGATATTGTACTGTAGAGTCCACTTCGAGGAGTGCACAACGACTGCGTGGAATTCTTTGGGAAAGGCGCAGCTGCAATAAGGCATGCCATGCTGGCTACTCATGATATTCAGTTGAACCTACTTGGGCTGGCTGTGTTGTGCTAATCGCTAAGCTGCACTGCTTGTAGCCACTGGGAGTTCCAGTTCTGCTAATTTAAGTCCCAGCAGCACGATCCAGTGATAGTGCGACCCGCCAGTTTCCTCATAAAGACAGAGACAGAGTTGCCAATTGCAGCCAAGGAACAGAAACGCCCAAAATCGCGCAAAGGCTGCGGAAGGGCAGTGGGTTCGTGTCTTGAAACAGCAGAAGCCACTCTCTGCCTGGAGAGGTGATTGTCATTGTGGTTCAATAAGGAAGAGTCGCGAATGTGGCTGGATGCCAACAGCCCAAACTCAAGCAGAATCAATACCCTCTGACCCTCTGTGAGCGGAGATGCTTGCTGTGAACTCAGCCTTTCCAGACGCCAACTTCAACGAATTCTGGGCCTTCTTTGGCCCACTTGGCGGGCAAGCCATGCTGGTGGAGCCTTGCACCAATGCATTGAATGCGCTGAGCACATGCAAAGTCAGGCAAGCGAACAGTCCTACACCCCAATATGCAGGCCAATGGGCAGCGCATGCACATCGCCATGACCGTGCGGCTTCTTCTCCACGTGACCGTCCTGCGAGAGTCGGTAGCATTCCGACTGCTTGGTGAGCCTGCTGATTGGTTTGTCAAAACGATATTGACTGGAGGCATGTGGCGATGAGAAACTTGGAACAGCCGCTGGGAATTTCAAGCTGTTTGCGGTCACTGTAGCAAGGCAGTGTCCCGTGCAATCGCTCTGGCCAGTGTGAAGTGAACTCTAACGGAACAGAAGGCGGGGTTTGCAAACCAGAGACAGCCACTGTGCCTAAGGCCTAGGGTGCTGTATGTCCTTGACAGCGATTCGCGCGTCGATGTCCATCAATGCAGGTACCAGCTCCTGTTTCATGATGGTCACCTGCTGGCAGACAAGACACAGGAATCATGTCTGCAGGGAAACTAGCGGCTATCGCCGCGAGGGCATCTTGGAGGAAGGACACTTGATAAACGAGGATCCGACCCTGCAGCATGTGAGCAACTATGTAGCCATGTGATCCTGTGTGTACAAGTACACTGTACACATGATGCAGAATCTCTGGGCCAATTCCTCAGACTCTGAACCCATGAAACATTGTGTCAAACACTGGAGTTTCCTGCGATCGTTTCTGGCCACCGGAACTCCAGGAAACTTAGGACCAAAGCCACGAAGCCCGGTCGGCCTCAAAACATTCGCCGTGCCGAAGCAGCAATATTATGGCTTTGGACTATCGGCATCCGGAGAGCATGCCAGCATTTTGCAGAACCTCACTCGCTAGCCGGGTCATTTGCATGGCGCCAACAAGATTCCAACATGCTGCTGGCACCAGTTAGCCACTGCTGTAGACTCAGACGTGTATCCCGTCAATTTCAATTTCAATCAGTGCGCGCTTGTGCATACATATATATATATATACATATATATATACATATATATATATATATATATATTGGCGGCAGCAAGCTTCTTGCTGTCAGCCTTCGTCCAGGTTTGTCAATGTCAGAGTCGCCAGGCTATCTCAAAGCATGTCGACATCCGAGCTGTCCAGCTTCGATCTCGTGCTCAACAAGGTCCACACTCACGTTTTGATGCCTTTGCAAATATCCAATGTTTACTCAGCGAGGGCTAGCTGGTACAGTAGCTCCGACTGATATGAAGGAGCGTATGTCAGACCGAATCCTGAGCAGCCGTTCCTGCCCACACTTCAACTTGTGATCCTTCTGGAGCACCAACAGCTGCGACTCCAGTTCAGAACGTTCCAAGTGAGAATGTTGTTTTCCCGTCAAACAGCGCAAGCGAGCCTGAATCTGTTTGATCCCCGCTGCTCTTACTAGTCCGTCAATGCTTAAGCGCTTGTCGTGACCTTGATTTCCGACCAACCTCCGAAGGTTGCTCCGAATGATAAAAAAATCGCCGGCACAAACTTGAATAGCCAACCGCGCTGCTTCACGCTTCACCCGTAAACCTGAGCGGATTAGCTTGGCCAAGACGAACTTGCAGTTCTCGGTGTTGCGCACAACAAGCAGGCCATGCGACTGCTTCTCGCGCACAATGCAGTCTACACCATGGCGGGCCAGAAAGCCCTGGATGGAGCGCAACACTGGGAGGAATTTCTGTTTGATTTCAAGTCGTAGATATGCAGGATACATTAAAACAATGCAGCCTTCGGCATCGAAGAAACCCGTCAAGTATTGCCAGGAGGGGCAGGTAGCCTCTGCGGGTGCCTCTTGCTCCAGAAGCTTCATCCTTGCAGCAGCTTCACAACGTAAACTGGGCTCTTGAGGCCATGAGCCTGCAATGGCCAACTGGGTGCGCTTGCACACTGCGCTGGCACTCAAATTGGTGGCGACCTGCTGCGCAGTTCCTCCAACAAGGTGCCACTGCAAAGAGGGTCTGCATAGCCCACCAGCGTGGCGCAATCTCACGATTGATCCACCAAAGATGTTCCGAAAGAGCAGAAGCACGACACCGTGAGACTCGGCCTGTGAGACTGACAGTCTGATGCCCGACTTGTCGGTGCACGGTGTGACGCACCCGTCCCCATCAAAGAAACCAGCCAGATAGCCAAGCAGGCGTGGCGACACACGCTTGAGTGACTGCGCGTGCTCGGTGCGCAGTGGCAAGTAGTACCGCCGACCCAATGCCTCAAAGTGGCCTGGGGGGAGGCGAAGGCGGTTCTGGAGCTGTCGAAGACGATCCAAGCGACGCTGCAGCTGCTGAAGACTCAGCAACCGTCCGCTGGCAGATATGGGCATTTCGCGTTCGTTCCGTCCTACCTCCCGAAGCCATACATGTCTGAGCAGCAAATGCCAGCGAACTACGATGTGGACATGTGATTCTCATGCATGGGGGCAGCGGTACGCGGGGGGGGTTGCTGTGTGCAAGGAGCCCTGGTCCAGCCCGACTGAGACTGCGCACAACCCAACATGCAAAGCACTATTCCTAAACCCTAAACCCTACACCCTTAACCCTAAACCCTACACCCTAAACCCCTAAACCCCTAAACCCTACACCCCTAAACCCTACACCCTAAACCCTACACCCTAAACCCTACACTTGACACCAA